CACCCTGCCACCCCCAAGAAGGGCGCGAACGCGCTGTTGCTTTAAGAAATGTCCCATTAGGAAAGTACTTCCCTTTATAGACTTGAGCCAGAAGGGAATGAGGTTCATTAAGAATCTGCCAACCAATCTTTGCCAACAAAGCTTGATTGAATTGTTCAAAGCGACGGAACCCCATCCCTCCATCATGCTTACTCTTGCACATATTCCGCCAGGATATCCACCTGATCCTTGGCTGCCCCTCAACAGCCCCCCACCAGAAGCGAGCCACATGCTTGTCAAGGAGCCGGCAAAGAGACAGGGGAAGCTTGAAGCAGGACATAACATGTAAGGGAAGCGCTAAAGCTATTGGCTTAATTAGAGTCTCCTTAGCTGCCCAAGACAACGTCCGCTGCTTCCATCCCTGAAGCCGCTCAAGCAGTTTTTCTTCCAAGTACCGGAAGGTATCCATTTTAGATCGGGAGAAGAGCGTTGGGAGGCCCAGATACTAGTCATGCACTCCCACCGCACCCACCCCCAGAATCTGAGCCAAAAACTCTTGATCCGGCAAACGAATATTTTTACTAAAGCACACCGCTGATTTAGCCAAATTAACCTTTTGACCACTGAGTTCCTCATACTCATTCAAGACCTCCAGTAAATTCTCACATTCCTAGAGAGAGCCACGCAGGAATAGATAAGAATCATCAGCAAAGAATAAATGAGAGATCCTGGGAGCACGAGGAGCCACCTTAACACCTTCTAATTTTTTCTCCGAAATGGCCTTACGCAAGAGCGCCGCAAACCCCTCTGTGCAAATAACGAACAGTAATGGTTATAAGGGGTCCCCTTGTCTCAGTCCCCGGGAGGGGGCGAAATAGCCAGAAGGGGTACCATTCATCAGAACTGAGAACGAGGTGGAACGGAGGCACTCATGGATCCATCCTTTTCAAACCGAATTGAAACCCATCTTGTCCAAAACCGCAAGAAGAAATGGCCATTCGACTCTATCATAGGCCTTTTCCATGTCAACCTTTAGAGCCATGAACCCTTTCTTACCTCGCGTTTTGATTTTCAAGTAATGCATCAATTCATGTCCGAGAAGGATATTTTCCACTATTTGTCGATCCCGAATGAAGGCATTTTGACCCTCGGAAATGATTTGAGGCAGAAAGCAGCCAAACGCCCAGCCATGATTTTGGTAATAATTTTGTACACAAATTGGCATAAGCTGATAGGACGTAACTGCCTCATAGACTCAACATTATCCACCTTAGGGATCAGAGTGAGCCAGGTATGGTTGAAGCTCCGGAGCATTTTACTCGTCACAAAGAAAGAGGTGACTGCCTCTACTACTGAAGTCCCCACAATGTCCCAAAAGGCCTTGAAAAATTTCCCTGTGAAACCATCAGATCCTGGAGCTTGTTTAGAGCCCATTGAGAACACCGTATCCCGAACTTCCTGAGGGAGAACTTCTTCTGTGAGGCCAGCATTCATCTCTGGCGTAACACAGTGAGAAATGGGGAGAGAGGCCACTCGAGCCGAAATATCTGGCACCCTATCCTCTGAGGTGAATAGGGTCTGATAAAAAGTATTGGCAATGTTAGCCTTCCCATTCTCTGTCGTGACCCACTCACCTTCCTCACTCCGCAGGCCTGCCACATAATTACGCTTCCTACGAGCTCTGGTAACCGTATGAAAATAAGCCGTATTCTTATCTCCTTTTTTCAACCAGTGAACTCGAGATTTCTGTTGCCAATAAACTTCCTCCGCCTCCCACTGCCTACTTAACTCACTTTCCAGCCGCCGGACCTCCTCCCACTCAATAGGGTGGATTAATTTAATCCGATCAATTTCAGCTTGGAGGGTTCGGATGTTCCGTAAAGAATTAGTAGTGCCAACCCTGCTCCAGTCATATAGCAAATGATGGAGTTTCTTTAAGCGCTCCCACAGTCGAAACATCGGATTGCCTTGGATCTCCTCCTGCCAGACATATTGCACCATAGCCCTCACCTGCGGATTATCCGCCCATCGAGCGTCAAAACGAAACAGGGGACAACTATTACGGGCATAAGGTTTGTCAGAGAGAAGAAGAGCTCGATGGTCAGAACCCTGGTCCGTAAAATGCTTTACTAGGGTTTCTGGGAACAGATCCACCCATTTCTGGGAGCATAGAGCTCTATCCAATCTAGCTCGAACGCATGCCGTACCCATCCGCTTATTTGTCCAAGTAAACTGATCACCAAGAAACCCTGGGTCATGCAGGCCCAGATTTTGAACAAAATCACGAAGGCTCAGGGCGTGAGCAGCATTCCAAGGAAGCCCACCATCTTTTCCCCCCGCATTAAGAGTAACGTTAAAGTCACCAATGAGCACATAGGGAAGATGGATATCCGCACAAATGTCAAGCAGCTGATTCAATTGGGAAGTACGAGTCGTCCCATTACAACTTATATAAACAAAAACCACCACATAAGAATAATCACTTTCATTGATTCGAACACATACAGAAATTTGAATGGAAAAAAACCGAGGCATCAACCCCCGGGGACCAAGCAACAACTAAACCTCCCGATGCATCAATTGCATCCACAAAAAAACATCAAGGACTATCAAAACCTAAGCCCCGCATACGACGGGCAACTACTCTCCGGCTCGATCGTGTTTCCGAAAAAAACGCGAGATCCGGTTTATTGGAATGAATTAAACCAACAGCAGTTTGAAATGTGAGGGATGGTCCAATTCCTCTCACATTCCAGGCAAGAAGCCTCATTTATCCGGATGGGCCACTCCCGGCTGGCTACCTCCACCGTTTCCATTTCATCTTTATCTTCCACAAACAGCTTTTTTGGTGATGGGGAGTCAGCAATATCTCCATCAATATCATCAATTCGGCGTTTCTTACCCTCCACCTCAGGGTCACCCAAATTGGACCCGTACTCGTTAAAGGGCTTGTCAATAGGCTCATTTTCATTTGGCACTCCCTTAGCCGCCGCCGTGTCATCCAAAGTGAGTGGGCACGCAACCCTTGCACATTAGTTGGATCACTCATGGTGAGCCCATCCTCAAATGCTTTCACAACCTGCCGCACACGGGACGATTCAGCCAGACGCTTGAATTTCCCCTTTCCCAGCGTTTCCCGGCAGCGAATCACAAAGAGTTGCTCATCAGCACCTGATTCCTCCGAGTCCATCCCCTTATGAACTGCCTCGATTGGTTGGGGGCCCAAGGGCTTCACCAGGGCTGGCGAATCCGCCGCCACCATCTCTTATTGGATGGAACTCATTGCCCACACAACTTTGTAAGCTGAAATTAAGGGTTAATTGCACCGGATACCATATAAGTATTAGTTTTGTTACATACTAACCACTTAAGTTTTTTTAGTTGCAACTTAACCACATAAGTCGACTTCCGGTTGCACAATTATATTTTCCATCCTTCAACTTAACGGCATTTATCAAATTGAAATTTTCCGCATCAATATACCCAATTCTGATTTCCCTTCCATTCTTCCATCTTCATTTCAGTATTACTAGCGCTCTCTTTAATTATCTTATGCCCTCCTTTATTGTTTTTGTCAAAATTTACAATGGTTTCATTTTTGTTGTTGTTATAATTTAATTAAACTTTGGCTTCCTTCCAAATAGAGCAAACTTTTTAAACCTACGTGGAATGGAGCCCTTTTACTATGCTATAAAGTATTGGTGCTTTAATGTACAACTTGAAGTTGTACCATAACATTAAATGTATAAGTTCAAGTTGTACCATAAGGAATTTGTACCATTCTATTATGGTACAACTTTACAAGTTGAAGTTGTACTATCTCAAAAAGGTGCAATGTCAAGTTGTACCATAAAGAATATGTACAAAACATTGTAGGTATAATCTAAAACTGTACCATAACATTGAATGTACAATTTCAAGTTGTACCATAAAGGTAAAAACCTATAACACCAATGCTATATAGTATTGTAAAATTCCTCATGTGGAATGTGAATGCAATCCTTATTCTGTTTTCGTTTATAATATGTTTTGCGTAATTGGCACCTCAGTTAGTAATTGTACATGTTATTGTTGTAATGAATATTTGAGCTAAAAGAAGTTTCATCATACATAGTCTTTCTTTTGCTGAGCTCGTGCACACCTGAACCTCAGGTGACGATCAGATAAAAACTAAAGAAGCATATTGAGATTAACTACATGAGATGCTTTAAACTGGATGAGTGAAGAAGAATTAGGAAATGGGTCTTAAGTAGTAAAATCGACGGACAAAAAGAGTAAAATAATGAGGGAATTTCATGTGAAGTTTTATCATAGTTTGTTACTAGTGTTCTGCTAAGGAAAGACTTCCAAAGCGAAACTCAGTTTTTCGACCGAAGTTCGCAGCCGAACCTCCCAATTTCCAACTCTATAAAGAAGTTTGTAAGAGGGTCGGCCATCATGGAGCACGAGAAGAATTTCAAAATGCAATTGTGATCGGGTTTATTCAATCCTCCATTAAAAAAAAATAATTATTTTGTGTAGAGTAAGAAAATGAAAGAAAAATAGTATAGTGTAAATTAAAGCGGAAAACTTCAATTTAATACCTGTCATTTAGTTTGAGGACGGAAATATAACAGTTCAACCGGAAGTCTACTTATTTGATTTAGTTGTAAATCAAAAATTTTAAATAATTAGTATGCAACGAAACCATTATCCGGTGCAATTAACCCCTGAAATTAACGACCATGATGGATTTGAAACGAACGACAGGAGACCTGGTTAATGGTTATGCAAATCATGTGTTTTTGATCGATCTACTCCCACGCAGGAGATTGCCAGGTTGGGCAGAAACGAAAAGGCAAGCAAAGCTATTTTACTCCCTCAAAACTGGAAAAGTGAGACAGAGCACGCACACAAAAAGGGGATTTTTGTTCCGGCTGGCGTCCGTCCCTCGTTTCCTCTACTTTCTCCTGTGAACGGAAGTAGCCAACGTGGAAGGCAAGAGCAAAACGGAGCGGGAAATGAGGTGAGAATCGAAAACCATGAAAGAACGAGCTCCCCGTCTCCCTTCCGTCGCCTCCATCGCCGTCGCCGTGCTACTTGTCGCCGGTCTCCGCACCGTCTACAGCGCCGAGTTCGATGGAGACTACTCCAAACTGTCCGGGATCATAATCCCTGGCTTCGCATCCACTCAGCTCCGAGCCTGGTCCCTGCTCGACTGTCCTTACTCGCCTCTCGATTTCAACCCTCTCGACTTGGTCTGGCTCGACACTACCAAGGTAGGTTTCTTCCCTCCATTGCTCTCAGTCTCCGTCTGTGCTATGTGGTCGTCTCCTAGTTTCGCATTCTGAAATATCCATACGAATCCCGAGCCAAGCGTACTTTTCGTTGTTCTGGAGGTTCGTTAGACGATTGGTAGTCGGGATGAGGGAATCGAATTTCGGATTGGCGCTTTTTCTGTCGCTGTAACGGCACTCTTTGCCTAAGGATTATAGGGCTAGATTCAAATGGTTATCACTCCTTGATGTTGGATTATTGTGAGATTCGGCCAGCCTATTAGTATAAGAGCAAGTTTGAAGGAGCTGACGTCAGCTTCCTTTTGTTGTTCTGTAGCTTCTCTCTGCGGTGAATTGTTGGCTCAAATGCATGATGCTCGATCCCTTCAACCAAACAGATAATGCTGAGTGCAAGTCGAGACCTGATAGTGGTCTCTCCGCGATCACTGAACTCGATCCAGGTTATATTACAGGTTTGTGACTTGTCTTTGTACCCATTTGTATTCCTTGTCGGTTAGCAGAGCTTCCCCCCACCCAAATGTTGAGTTTCTCTTAGTTTCGAGGAGTTAAATGTACGTTGGAGAAGAGTTAAATGTATGTTATGTTCTTCAGGTCCTCTTTCGTCTGTATGGAAAGAATGGATTAAGTGGTGCATTCAATTTGGTATCGAGGCAAATGCAATAATTGCTGTTCCTTACGATTGGAGGTTGTCACCATCGATGCTCGAGGAGCGAGACCTCTATTTCCATACCCTCAAGTATGTTTGTTTCTATGGATGCAATCATATTTAAGAACAATGATATGGATCTCTGAATTAATCTGTAATTCTCTGCTAAGCCATTTATTACATGGAGATAAATGAAGCTCTTGCCATTTAATGGTTCTGTTTGACAACATTCTCCATCTGAAAATTTTATACACTGGCAGATAAAATAATTGTTAGCTGTTTGTTATACCTGCACTTCTCTAGATTGCTAAATCTAATAAATAACCACCAGATGCTGCTTTATCTTGTGACTTAATTATTCTTCCATTTTTTTTTCCTTCTTTTGCCTTCTTTGCAGATTGACCTTTGAAACTGCCCTCAAACTTCGTGGTGGACCTTCTTTAGTATTTGGTCACTCATTGGGTAACCTTGTATTCCGGTACTTTCTGGAGTGGCTTAAGCTAGAAATTGCTCCAAAACATTATAACCAATGGCTGGATGACCACATCCATGCCTACTTTGCTGTTGGTATGACTAATTGGCACTGAACCCTATCTTACAAGTTTAGGTCATGGTGGTTAAATCTGTGCACTTATTTGATTTATTGTCACATGTGATCAGGAGCTCCTCTTCTTGGCTCACCTGAGACAGTGAAAGCTACTCTTTTTGGAAACACATTTGGGCTTCCTGTTTCTGAGGTGACCTATTTTCTCTTTAATTTTTTGTAATCATTCCATCAGCGGCTAGTAACATATGTCATTGTTCAAAGGCTATCAATAGTTTCTATCGATCTGGAATGGTCTCATAATCAGTTACAATAGATAGGAGTACATCCTCTCTCAGTTTTCTCCAGTTTCTACGAGTTTTAAGAGTCTTTGTTCTACCTTTAGTTGTTGTGTGTGGATATTGTTCTCACTGATGTTTATTCGTTGGCAAGGTCCCAGGGAACAGCTCGATTAATGTTCAATTCTTTTTCTTCTTCATTGTGGATGATACCACATTCAAAGTATTGCACATCCGATAATCCTTATTGGAAACATTTTTCTGGAGGATTCAGAAAGAAAAATCAAACATATCACTGTGAGGAGCAAGAATATCGTTCAAACTACTCTGGATGGCCAACCAACTTGGTCAACATAGAAATCCCATCTATTCCTGGTAAGAGTTTGGTTCTGATTTGGTTGAGGCAATATTACTCTATTGCTCACATATGCTTTATCTATGTGCGTATTCATAGGATTTGATGCCTATCCATCACTCCAAGAGATGGTCGAAACAAACCTCTCTGCCATGGAATGTGGACTCCCTACTCAGTTATCTTTCTCAGCCCGTGAAGTTGCAGATGGAACTCTTTTCAGAGCCATAGAGGACTATGATTCTGACACCAAGAGGCTATTGTACCAGTTACAGAAGTATGTTTACTCTTAATCAATGCTGGTCCTGCTGATAGGACCTTTACTTTTGAGTCCAAAAAGCGCTTATTTATAAGAAAGACTTCTTTCTGGCTTTCACCTTCCAATATCATATTCTTTCAACCCAAGTTTCAGTCACAGTAGAAGACATTTTACTCAGCTTGGTGCACCCTGTCCCAACATATTCCCCATTCTGGTTATCAGGTCCACAGCATCATTCCCGTTCTGTACACATATGGGTGTTGCTGTTGGAGCACCCCAGCGAACATCTTCCTGTTTTCTTTCAAGCGGTTCACAAACTAACTCCTATACCCCCTTCCCCATTTTTGTAAATTGAACTGCTCCAAGGTTTTCAAACCATATCTACCCAAGGGTGTTACCTAAACCATATCTTGAAACTATTGTGGTCAAGCTAGGTAGCAGACCTGCATGGATCAAAATTCTGGACTGTGATTATTCTTGTTGTTTTCTGCTTTTGGGTGCAAGATGATAATTATCTCCTCTGGTATACTGCATGCATTTGATAATAGTGGTAACTCATTAGTTGAACTTGTGAAATAATTGGAGTGGCTACGAAGTGCAATTTTTCCACCATATTGTTAGATTAGTCTTTTCTCTGTGGTACGTGAAAGTACATCAATTATATCTGTATGTGATCCACATATGTCAGTCCATTAGAAGAAATGTAAACACCTTTCAGCTTCGCTAAGTCAAAACCATGTTCATGCAGCTGGGTCACAGGGGATATAATCTTCAATATTGTATTTTTCAGGTCATACCATGGCGATCCTGTTCTTAATCCACTTACACCCTGGGAAAGACCTCCTATTAAAAATATCTTCTGCATATATGGAGTAGATTTGAAGACCGAGGTATAACTATGTCGTCAAACCTTCATACTAAATGTTTTATGCGTTAACTGCCTTTTCCTTCTGGTTTAGGCTGATATGATGCTGTCATTGCTTGCTTCCGCTGGATTTTTTTTAGAAACTCTGACCATTAGATACCCTTTTTAGCTATGAATACATTTATAAGAATATTTATCTCCTCGTAGCTACCAAGCTTTGGCAGGATTTTGCTTTATCCACCAATTTCATGCTTGAAAATAAGGCTCCAGTTATGTATAAAAATGCATTTTCACTGTGCTCCCTGCATATATATGAAAGTCTGAGCTCTGAGATTGTACTAGGGTGAAATTTATTTACAAGCGGATGCATGCAGATCTTTTGTGCTGTTTGTATATGAGTCAAACTGCTTATCCGATTTTTTGCCTTTTGTTTTTGGATGAATTACAGCTAGATAGTTATAATTAGCACAGAGTTCATTCTTATGAATTGCTGATGATAGATTTTGTATTTGGAAATGTCAAAGTAGGTTGGTTACTATTTTGCACCGAGTGGCAAACCTTACCCAGATAATTGGATCATAACAGATGTTGTTTATGAGATTGAAGGATCCCTCTACACAAGGCAAGTATCACTAATACTGTTCCATTAGTTATATCATATGCGTATACCATATGATCTGACAGTAGCCCCACTTGCAAAGAAGCAGTCACATGTATGCTTTATGGCAAGTTATGGTGTACCCCAAACAACTGAACTCCCCCACTTGTAAATATACCCAAAAAGGCATGGTTGACAACTGATAAGTGTTGCATTACGATGGTTTAGCTGACAAACCATTGGTTTTACATCGCCTTTTATCAGATTGCCATCCATACCCTGCTTGCCAACACTGTCTCTGCGACTTCCTTCCTTCTTTCATATATGGCAAGCAAATCCAAGCCAGAATCAGGGAAGAGAAACACATAAAGCCCGTTTAGATAGGCTAAAAACTCCTGAGATGGAATTCCATTTCTAATTCTGTGACCTATATTTGGAATGAAAATAGTTGGGAAATGAAATTGCAATTGACCTAATAGTTGCAAATTAGTATTACTACCACTAGTGGTAAGAAATGGGTTTATGGCAATAGTAGTAATTCCCACCAAACTTTATTAATATGTTTCCATTCAACATTTCCACTGTCTTCTTTCTCTATTCTCGCATTTCTTTTCCCAAGATAAAAATATATATTCAACAATTTATTTAATTATTAAAACTACAATGCATTTGCGTAGTTGTGGGAATTGTTCCAAGCAGAAGTAGGTGCAAATAAAATTCTGGAAAATAAGTATTGGAAATGGATTTCCATTTCCGTTTCCGTAGGTGTTGTATCCACACAGATCAATAGTAGTTTAGCTGATGGCCTGATACTATAATCAGTCCTGTGGCAGTGCAGAAGTGTTGTCACAAACTAATCTTTGCCCCTTTATCAGGTTAAATTTATTAATTGTCATGGTAGTCTTGCTTTAATGTTGAGTGGGCGGCAGTTTCTTTCGTCGGTTGTGCATATCGCAATTCGTTCTTTCTAACGTATTTATCCTGGAACTTTTAGGTCTGGGAATCTGGTTGAAGGGAATCCAGGAGCTACAAGTGGGGATGAGACTGTAAGCTCATGCACCAAAACCTGCATTTTTCTTTTACCAGAGTACCTGATCCGCAGATCCTTGAACACCTTAATATTGGTTCTTGGACCTGCATCCATGTGTTTTCTCAGGAGTGAATATGCTGTATGTTTCAGGTACCATACAATTCCTTATCACTATGCAAGAGTTGGCTTGGACCAAAAGTGAACATAACAAGGGCACCCCAGGTATTCTCAGGCCTCATCCAATGAATTACGTCCTATGGATGTTTGGTTTATCTGCTTTTGACATAAAAAGATGAAGTTAATTATACTTCCCCATGTATTATTGGAATACACCTTGCCTTGTGTTTGACAAATCAACATTGTGACCTCTGGGAATGACTATATGATACAGGAATGCCAGTTGAATATTTGCATCTGAAGATTATTTTGAATCTCTGCATGATGTTTATGCAAATTGCAGGCTGAGCATGATGGATCTGATGTACAAGTAGAACTGAATGTTGACCATCTCCCTGACGAAGATATAGTTCCCAACATGACAAGGTCTCCAAGGGTAAAATATATTACTTATTATGAAGATTCCGAAAGCATACCAGGAAAGAGGACAGCAGTCTGGGAACTTGATAAAGGTCGGTTTATGGTTTCTGTTCACTTTGGCTTGGGAATATGAGGGGTAATTCATCTTATTATGCGGAAGCAGGAAATGGAAATAGAACAGATAATTTTATGTTCAAACCAGTAATTCACAACATGACAAGTAATGATTACTCGCGTAACTCAAACTATCCTTTTGTAGCAAATCATAGGAACATTGTTAGATCTCCGGTTTTAATGCGGGAGCTGTGGCTTCAGATGTGGCATGACATCCGTCCTGATACTACATCAAAATTCGTTACAAAAGGTTTGTCTTTTCATCAATTATCCTCTTCTCTCCAACTCTGGCTTGGATACTTATTCACTAACATATAATATGTAATAGCTAAGCGAGGTCCCCTAAGAGATGATGACTGCTATTGGGACTATGGGAAAGCTAGATGCGCTTGGGCGGAATACTGTGAATATAGGTTAGTTGGTCACTGTGCCCTCAATTGTGTATTCATATTGTCGATTATACTGTCTGGCCGTATAATAGTTTTGTAAGTGCAGATACATTTTTGGTGATGTTCACTTGGGACAGAGCTGTAGATTGAAGAATTCTTCAGCGGAGACACTCTTGAATTACCTATAAGGCTATATGAATTTAGTACATTGCTCTTCAGCGCAAGCATTAGAACCACAACCTCGAGGATTTGATGCTTGTTTTCCCCTGTATCCATTGGCCGAGGCTCATGGACGTGAATTCAATCTAAACTTGGATCTGCTGTTGCTGGTCCAGGTCAGACAGCTCAATATAGTACCAGAGCATTTGCACTCTATGCTTTAAAAGGTAAATTCTAGATAGTTAACTACAAGAAGTAGTTCTGGGTTAAAGCTCTGTAACCGTTAAACGGAAAGCTAAAAGTGTGAGTCCAGATTTGTTGTTGTTTTATTCTTGTAGATTGCTTGTTGGATTGGAGACATTTTTTCATTATGTTGAACAGTTTGATTAGTAAGCCTAATTTGAGTCCAGAACAATGAGGTGGCCAGTCATTGATCATCCTTCAAATTTCCTGATTCAGACGTCTGTGATTGCTTTGCAATCTTGGCTCCTGTAATGTCACATTTGAAGGATCTGTATCTGTTAAAAATGAGTTATTATATAGTTAGCCCTGTCGTTCTCCTTGCCCTATCGTCTACAATCATAAGAGTAAGGTGATCATCAAGGCCCTATCGTCTACAATCATAAGAGTAAGGTGATCATCAAGGGTTCACTTTTCATAGTCCAATTGGGGGCTAAGCAATGACGTGGTTTTAGGCGAATATGGATGGGTTTGGAACAATCCACTACATGGTGGATGTAGGAGAAAAAAATCTACATCCACCCATACATATACATGTACTAAAGGTTCTAAAAGGCGCTAGGCGTAAGGCAGACGCTCGGCTCCTAACTTGCGCCTTGCCCGATTAGGCGTAGCCTAGGCGTTCAGAGTATAAATGGAAAAATTCTCAAATATTTCCTGTTTTCTGGAATAATTCATATAATCCAAGTGCATATAAAATTAGCAATGCCTAGTTCTTAACAGTAAACACTTAACATAGCAAATAACAAGAAAATAGTGACCAATCATCTGCTAATAGGTGCTTATAGAGGCAAGAAGCTTGTGCTACGTACCGAGGAGAAGGAAGGAGCAGCAATTGACGAGTTTCGACTTTATTTCCCACTATAGTAGCGGAGCGGTGTGAAGGCGAGAAGAGTGATCGATGACTTTCTCCTGCGGCGGCAGAGAGCAGCAAATGGGGCGAGAGCTAGAGCGGCATGCGGTAGCAGATGGGGCGAGAGCTAGGGCGGCAGGCGGCAGCAGATGTTACTTCCCGTGTTTCTGATTTTCTAGGGCAAGAGGCAAGTTTCTGATTTTCTAGGACAAAACGAAGAGTATTGGGTTTAACCGCCTAAGCTCGCCCAGGCACGCCTTCTCTCCACTAGGCGCAAACTAAGCGCTATTCCTACCTACTAAGCGCTACCAGCGCCTTTTACAACGCCTATTGCCAAGTCAAGGCGATCCTCCACCGCCTTGTGCCTAATTGAGCCTAGGCGTGCGCCTACGCGCGCCTTCTTGAACTCTCCATGTACTAGTGGATGGGTTGGGTGATTCCAAATGATGGGTTTTTTTTATGACAATAACAATCATCATTTCATTCCAAGCCCACACAAGTGAGAAGCAAAACAATTACAATAATGGAGTGACAAGATCGGCAATGACAATCCATTCCGAAGGAAGGAGATCGAGACGAGAGTTCCTCGCAATCCAATCAGCCAAGACATTGAATCGACAGGGAACAAACTCAACCAAAATCCAAGGAGAGAGGCAATGAATGGAAACAACGCGGGCAAGAGTTTCCCGACATTGCCATGGCCACATGCTCGGATCCTGTCTCAACGAAATTGTCAACCTCTGACAATCGGACCTGACGCACGTTGGGATTGGATCCTGAGAAGCCAGGATAACTGCATTAAGAATCGCATAAGCTTCCGCTTGTATCGGAGAAGAACAAAAGAATCTCTTAGCCCTTCCGTCGATAACCTGATCGTGGGAGTTAGCAATAGCAATTCCATACGCTGCCACCTGTGCATCAGAGACAAAAGAACCATCACAATGCACAACCTTACTGTAAGGACCATGCGGTGATAAGGTCGTCGACCGAGATCTCCCAGACTGAGAGGGCAAACCAGCTGATATTGAAGAAGAAGGGGAAGCTGAGGACGTGGCCATAGCTTCCTTAATGTTTCGGAACTCTCTATAAGCTAGAATTGCCACAGTGGGGGGGGGGGGGGGGGGAGAACACCTTCCCATCGAAAACCATTCCATTACGAGCAATCCAGATATTCCACATTGTACACACAATCTTGTTGGTTTGGTCAGGTGTTGAACTGTCTCTGAGAGAAAAAACCAGTCCGCAAAGCTGGTATCCGCAAAAGGGGAACCTCCAACAAGCCAACCCTAGACCAAGTCTCACATGCCTTGTAGCAATGGAACAAACAGTGCATAATCGTTTTTATATGCTCCTCACACAGTGGGCACACTGGATCAAGAGCATACTTGCGTTCAAACAGCCTCGCTCATGTTGCCATTGCATTCTTACCACTCTTCCAAATGAAAAACCGAAGCTGAGGGGGCAAGGAAAGATTCCAAAGCCACTTCCAATCATCCTTGTTTGGTCGAGAAGAGGTATCTCTAGCAATAGCTTGAGGGGAATCTCTCACCTCCCTAAACAGACGGTAAGCAGACTTAACACTGTAGCCTCCTGATTCTGGAAACCTCCAAATCCAACGATCCTGCGAAAAACAGGGGCCAATCGGAAGTCCAGCAATAGCTTGGACAATCTCTTCAGGCACCGGATTCCTGATTGCATCCATGTTCCAGCTGCGATTAATTGGATCAATCCAATCACTAACACGGGACGACTCCAACCCCAGATGAGATCAACTGAAATTTTGAATGGACGGCAACCAAGGGTCGCAGTGGAACTAAGAATCCTCCCCAGACATGATCCCCCTCAACAAACCAGCCTTCATATGCTCCTTGACCTCGCAAAAACCATTCCAGATCCATGAGCTTTTCCTCCCTTTAACTGCCGTAAACAAATCTCCATTGGGGAAGTATAGCCCCTTTAAAAGCTTGGCCTACAAGGCATCCAGATTATCAAAAAGTCTCCACACCTGTTTCCCAATAAGAGCAAGGTTGAAAAGGTGGAAGTTCTTGAAACCCAACCCTCCTTCATCCTTAGGCTTTTCCAAATCCCTTGCGTTACACCAGTGAATACCCCTCTTCCTCATGGATCCCGACCAAAAAAAGCGCTTCATAATCGAGTCAATTTTGTTCGATAAACTAAGAGGTAGCAAGAAAACACTCATGATGTAGGTCGGCAAGGCTCGGATAACTACCTTCAACAGTACTTCCTTACCTCCAGGGGATAACATAAGGCTTTTCCAAGAATCACCTTGCTTTTCCATACGCTCCAGAAGAAACCCAAATGTTTCTTTTTTGGATCTACCCCATTTATTTGGAACTCCCAAGTACTTGTCATGGCAAACGGAAGGCAGAAACCCAAACTTATTATTCACCAAGGATCGGATACCATGAGGAGTATTCTTGCTAAAAAAGATGGAGGACTTTGATGCATTGATCTCTTGCCCCGTAGTATCCCCATAAATCTTAATGATATCCATAATACGCTCAGCTTCCAGGACACTAGCTTTGCCAAAGATGACAGTGTTATCCGCAAACAATTAGTGGGAGATCCGTGGGCAGTCCTGATTGAGCTTGATGCCTCTGATGTCACCTCGATAGACCCCTTTCTCAATTAATAAATACAAAGCGTTAAACATAAGGATGAACAGAAATGGAGAAATGGGATCACCTTGTCTAATGCCCCGAGACGGAGTGAAAAGATCAGCAGGACTTCCATTGAGAAGGATTGAGAATTTGACCGTCCTGGTGCACGCTCGAATCCAGCCACGCCCTTCTCTGAAAACCCGTAAGCCTCTAGAATGTAGTCAAGGCCGTCCCAGTCCACTAAGTCATATGCTTTTCGCATATCCAACTTCACCATCATGTCCCAATCCCCATAGCGACAATTCTTGAAGTTATGCAGTATCTCATGAGCAATAATAACATTATCTTGAATAAGCCTATCTCCTGTAAATGCGGCCTGCATTTCAGAAACCAATCCCGACAACCATTTCTTCACTCGATTAGAGATAACTTTAGAAATGATTTTGTATCTGAAGTTGCAACAGCTAATGGGACGGTACTGTGAGATCGTCTCTGGAGCAGGAACCTTAGGGATCAGGGCAATATGAGTATCATCCATCCCTGTGGCATAACCGAGGTTCTGAAGAAGTGAATCACTTCATTACAAAAATCCGGACCAACTTTGCTCCAAAACTTACGATAAAAGGACCCAGCAAAACCATCGGGTCTTGGAGATTTTGATGGCCCAAGGTCAAAAACTGCAATTTTAATCTCTTCTATAGCAGGCTCTCTGTCCAGATCCAGATTCATTTCATCAGAAACCAGTTTCGTAAAGTCCTGGAGAGAATCATAATTGAGACCATCTTTCTTCGTGAATAAAGTATGATAAAATCCAGTGACATGAGTAGATAGAGATTCAGGCTGGGAAATCACATTTCCATAATCATCCTTAAGGGCTGAAATCTTGTTCCTATGCTTCCGAAGTGTGGTAGAAGTGTGAAAAAATTTATTGTTCTGGTCCCCCACTTTAAGCCACTCAACACCAGCTCTTTGACTCTAAAACAGTTCTTCGTCCTTCCAAATTGCAGCAAGCTCCTCCAAGAGCCCTCTTTCCTCTTCAACAATTTCCTTGGATTGATTCGACTCCCTTCAAATTCCAATCGCAGAGGACAATGATCACACTCTATAGGAAGCTCATGTAAAATTATAGCATTGTTGTACATGGAGAACCACGATGTAGAACAAAGGCCACGATCAAGTCTCTCCTCAACTCGCCTCATCCTCTCTTGATTGTTCTTCCAAGTGAAGGGGTAGCCCATAAAACCCATATCCATTAAACCATTATCAGTAACAAAAGTCTTAAAAGGTACAGTAGACACATTCCTAGGCTCATTACCTCCCCTTTTTTCTTCAGGAAATAAAACAACATTCATGTCCCCAATAACTACCCATTTATCATCGACACTAGTCCTAAGATTAGTGATCTGATCCCAAAATTCCCTACGCCGAGCTGGATCAGACGGTGCATGAACAAAAGTGATAAAGAAACCCCCATTAACATCAACAAAAGCATCAATATAAAAAAAGCTACTGTCAAGGATTGTGATAGGTAATCCCGCCACCCACCAAAGAGCTAGACCTCTTGCAGTGTTAATAGGATTAACATGGAACTCCTCTGCAAATCTCATACTTCTTCTCTTGGCCTTCATATAGGATTCCTCCTTCTTAGTCTCAGACAAAAATAGGAAAGATGGATGGTGTTTTCTCACCAATTTCCTCAGTTGACGAACTGTGGGGGTCTGCCCAAATCCCATACCGTTCCAAACAAGAGCATTCATGGAGCCTCTGCTGCCTTGGAATCGGCCACCATAACCACAACAAGATTTGGTTCAAAACCAGGCGGGAACACAACATCTTCGCCTCCATCATTTTCCTCTGAAGCTCCTCGAATGGCTTGGGAATGCTCTGCTTCTTGTTCCTGAAACCCGTCAGTGAGAAGACCAGCTGTCTTCCTTTTCTTTTTCTGGGTTCTTGGGCTAATTCTTTCAATTTTGTCATGTCTTTGTGATTGGTAATGTACAGGGGGTGGGCTCGACTTGGGCTGGGGTGAAAGTAGTTGTGGTTAAAAGTGTAATGGGTCTGGGCTAGTAGTGGTAGTGGGCTTGGGCTGGGAAAACCAAAGCTTGGAAGAGGGAACGGGTAGGTTATGTTTTGGTGGTACGGTTGGGACAACAGAGGGGATTGTGGGTAGCTGAAAAGGTTTCTGGCAACACTCTCTCCTTGGGGTGGGAAGCAAACACAGAGAGATTATGGGAAAGGGATGGGTAGCTTTGGGGAGATGGTGAGATAGGGTTTTGGGTAGTGAACAAACCTGCTGGCGGAGATAGAGGAAAGTTCCGGGCAAAGCTGGAAAGAGGGGATTGATTTGTAGCAGTCGGCATCCCCAAAGTATGTGGGACCATCTGACTGGTCTGCTGGGTTGCTCCGGTCATGGAGGTTGCCGACGATTGGATCTGGCCTCCGCCTGGGGAATCAGAAGATGACGCCGCGTCCCTGATCAAGTCCGCTTTGACCTCCTGTTGCTGGTTCGTCCTAGGCGAGAAGAGGGGTGAGTTAGCCCTCGTCCATGGTCCCCATCTCTGAACCTCTGGCACCGGAACCCCATTCTCCTCATCAGCTCTCCTTCGATCACACTCCAACCTGGTATGCTCAAAGAGCACACAATAATAGCACAAAGAAAACATCTTCTCATACTTGAAATCAATCCAAACCCTTTTCTGCTGCTGGCGGATGTAGAAACCATCAGGGATTGGTTTTGAGGTGTCCACCTGAACAAAAACCCTCACATACTTCCTGTAAATCTGTGATTGTAGGGCTGCACGATCAATGTCAATCACTTGGTGGAACATTATGCTCACCATTGCAATGTTGCTCTCCGTTCTGTAGGCTTCTGGGAGGTTATGAATTTGAATCCCGAAATCCACCATCCTGAAGCTGGTCTCTCTCGCTGTCTCAAGGCCAGACAGTTTCTTTACTTGCATCAGAGTACCAGATATGGGGCAGGGACGTTCCAGCCATATAGACTCCATTTCTTCCTTCTTCTCAAAATCAAGAGTGAATACGTTCTCATAGACAGGTTGGACGTTAGGCATCTCTTGGACTTTTGGCTTAGGGTTGTCCACCCAGGCCGCTCTTATCATGCCTCTCACAGCCCTTAGGCTAACACTTCGCTCCGAGAAGACCTTGACAACTAGAGAGAAGCGGTTGGTCAGTCTCTCTTCATCCGGAACCATTTCGAGATCCCATTCTCCTTCCTGATTGATGAAATCGTGAACACTCATCTTTTTTGTAGTTTCCCTCACATGTTTAGCTCGCTCAAGACAAAGGGGGGTTTCAGTTAGCTCACAATAGAAGAAAAAGCTGAGAGAAGAGGCAATTCTGGTAAAGAACATGGTATCCCACTTTATAATTCTCACTTCGTTTCCATCTCCTTCCCCCTCTTCATTTAATACAGTTGTTGGCTTGATTGGACTAGGATTTATGGTTGTCCTCGAAATCTTAGATTTCTTAGCTGTTTCTACAACTCTGTACGGCTCAAAGCACCAATCCCTCCTTATTAATGATGGCTTGAAAAGACTAGTATATGCATTCCAAATGATGGGTGGTTGGATGAGTTTGGTGAGCTTACAAAATACATTTCAAAATGTCACATAATTCACATTGTTCTAAATGTAAGATGAAAGAAATCTTCAAACTAAATAACATTTAATCCAAACTAAATGTCACAATATTACTGCTAGTATTCGTTCACAAATCACCAAATATTGAACTGATAAATATGGCCCAAGTCTAATAATAACAAAAAAAGAAAATGAAGATGAAATTTCATCTTATCTAGCTAACTGTCCAAGTCTTGAAGTCACAATCACTCGTCGAAGACTCCTAGAATGAACAATAGAATAAGCCAAATTAGTATACGAACAATGAAAGTTAACAATGAACCATAGAAGGAAGTAAAAATATTATATAAATTTGGGTAATGTCTATTTTTTATCCAAACCTATTTTGGATTTTTTTATTAGTCAAACCTATCGAAAAACTAAGAATCAAGTTTGTTAATCCGGGGTCGAACCAACTGATCGAACCGGGTCTGGGCAGAAATGGGCACTGAAACGGCCAGGCACAACCATAATTAGTCCTGGATGGTTGCCGGTCAAAACCGGGGAAATTCGGGGTCTGACTGGTCGAACTCGACTACCGGCTATTACCAAGCGACCCCGTTTTGTCCTGCGTGGAACTTGAGGGTTTTGTCTTCAAACCCTACTTTCATCGTCATCGAGCAGCCGTCCAAAGAACACTCCCCTTCCCCTTTCGTTGTCCGCCATCGTAGTAGCCAACAGCGCAGCCTGCGTCCCCGCCCCGCGCCGTTGCCGGTCCCAGCCCCACACCTCGCCGCCTGTTGTTGCCCCTCGTGTTGACCCAGCTCGCCGCCCCACGCCTCGCCAGTCGCCACCTCTTCTCGACCCAGCTATGCGCCCGACGCCACTCGCTGCCGCTCCCAGCACGACGCTTCGACCCAGCTCCTGCCGCGTCGACGACAGTCGCCGCTGCTGCCTCGACATATCTCTGTGTGTTGATGTTGATTATTTAGGTTTTGATTTTGTTAATTTTAGACAACGGTTATTTGAGTAGGGGAGAAAGAATGAAAGAGTTGGTTAATCTATCTACAATCTACAAGATATATAAAGGCAAAACATGGGTTGGAATTGTTCCATTTCAAATTTCGTGGCCTGGGAGTGATTCTAGGAAGGTCATTTTTGTCATTGCACCTAGTTCATCTTTATATTAAAAATGTTATCACCGGAGTTTGAACCTTGGTCATTTCAACAAATAAAGAGTATTATAACTAACTACACAACATTTCCTTATTGTTATTTCTTTGATTAAACTTTGGTGATGATGTTTCTATATTTATATTTTATAGAAATATATTAATTCTGAAATTGGAACTCAAGTAACATTGATTCAAACATGTGTAGTTTAGTTTAGACAGAATACAAAAGTGTAACCAATACACGGACCTTTATGACGAGTATATATATATATTAATTTTTTCTGACAAATATACACATAATATAATGATAAGATTGGAAAATGAGTCTCATTTCAAATTTCGTGGTATGTGATCTTAGGAAGCTCTTTTTCGTCATTGCGTCCAATTTATATTTATATTATGTGTAGATTGTCACCAAAATGACTATATTTGTCACAAAGGTCCATGTTTTGGATACACATATGTATTTTGCCTAAACTGAACCATACATACAATTTCATATCTAATGTTTGAATCAATATTTCTTGAGTTCCGATTTCACAATTAAACACTTTCTGTAAGATATAATAATTTCAGGTAAAATACTCTTACTACTTGGTTGAAGAAGCTCTTTATATAAGATACATTTAATGTTTTAAGAATTTTTATTTCAAATTTTGTGAATTGAGAGTGAAAGTAGGAAGAGTAAGTTTGTCATCACAATTATATATCTACTTCATATAAAAAGTATCAATATCAAGATTTGAACCATCGTCTCTTCAAATAAAAACAATAATCACAACCAATTACACTAAACAAATTTGTTTTATCTTCTTAATTTGTAAACATGCACTAAGAGAAGATTTGAAAAGCAGAGGACTTTTCCATCACGTTTAGCTAGCATATTAAATCTTCTGAAAAGCAAAGTTTAATACGTGATTTATAATTTTTTATAACCTATACAATTGTGGATAATCTTAACATTGAAACCCAAATTTAATTGCTTGAAATAATGCATATAGAATTGTAGCATTGAATATGCAAAAGCCATGTAGAATTCTTTAAATTAATATAAATTTTCAGAGTTACAACGATTCAATATTATTTTGTACAAACTATAGGTGAATGGTTCTCTTAAATTTTAGTCTGGTTAACTGCTAAACGTTAAACCTCTTGCTAATCTGGCATGAATGGACCCAACAATGATGAGACGATATTGAGTTTAATGTGATGTTCATTTCGTCATTTTTGGATGTTTTAATCAATTTATAAGGCATTAACATATAAATGATTTATAATTAATCTTATTATATAATGTTAACTCTTTATAATAATTAATTTAATCTTAATATTTGTGATGCTTAAATATTTTATGTATGATTGGAGGTATACTTAATTTTTTTTATGAATTGAGGTATACTTATTATTTGTGACATCAGTGGTAGTTGGTTCAAATATAGTATTTCATCAGGTTGTAAAAAAAAATCAGGTAGTCAAAGTCGAATACTCGGAGCATTTATAACGGTTTTTATCTTGGTGTTGTGAATAGGTAGAAACTTAATTATTATAATGCATATAATTATACCTAAGCACATGGTCGAGCTAGCACGACACAATTAGCGCATACCATGAAGACAATGTATGTAGACCAGCTATGTACAAGCATGAATGCTTCATGGGTCGTACTAGACTTAAACTTCAAGAGCTCGCGCACAAGTGCTATCACCACACAGTCTATATTGGTGAACTCATATTTTATGGACAAATGTGCCAATTGAAAAAAGTAAAATAAAATATTCTAAAAATAACATATAAAATTTGAATTGATGAGCAGTTTTTCACATCAATATGTGACAGCTCATATTCTAAAAGGTTTATAAATGCATTAATGGTTTAATTTGAGACTCAAACTTTTTCCAATTTATACAACTAAACACTCTTTTATAAAATTATTCTTGATTAACTCCTGCAGTAATAACAAACAACATCAACAATAACTTTAGAATCAAGTAAAGTGAAGAAGATATTGAGATTTTATATCTCTTTCCAAATGTGTGTGTTTGGGGGATATTTTTTTGGTCTAAAAATTTGAGTGACTTTAGAAGCAAGTAAAGTGAAGAAGAGATTGTGAATTATTATCTCTTTGCAAATGTGTGTGTGTTTGAGGATATTTTTTTGGTCTAAATATTTGAGGAAGGGGTTGAAACTCATATATCATTTGTTCAAATATTGCATATTGAATTGGAGTATTTAACATTTTCAAGCGATATATAATTCTTAAATTAGTATTAATTTTCAGCCCGGTTGACCAATAGCCTTAGACCTCTTGCTAATCTGACATGATTCGATCCAATAATCATAAGATGAGATTTACTTTGATATGCTGGTTCAAAATCATTTTTTATGTGTAATGAATTTGTACGACAAATTACATGTAAATAAGTGAAGATGAACCTAATTATGTATTATGATTCTTTTGATAAATAAGATGGTTTAAGCGATGAACTAACAATACACTCACTCAGTTGGTTTAACTAGTGTTGTGTTTGTCACTTTTAGTAATTAGTTTATTCACAAGCTCTCAAACTACTTTGCTCCGTGGAGGAATAAGCGCCCATCTGTTCGCTTGGTTTCAGGTGCTCTAATTCACTCTATCGAGTGTGAATGGAGAAAAAACATTTCGAACACAAAATTGGAAAAGTGATTGGGATGTTTCTCGGTTTCTCTCGATTCCAGGCGGTGGGAATAAGGAGGAAGGGAAGGGGGAGAGCGGTGAGATACAAAGCTCAGAGAGAGAGAGAGAGATGGAAGAACAAATGGAAAAAGAAAGAGGAAGGCAAAGAGAGAGTGAGAGGACACATTTAAAAGAGGAGAAAAATGATGTAGTGTGAAATAATTGCCCTTCTCCTTTGCGTAGAGGGTATTGTTAGCCCTCTTCTATTGAGTTTTAATTTATTTTAGGGGATATTATATTTGACAGATTTTTTCCATTTCATTAAAAAAATCCTAAATCAATATTATCATTTGGATGATTTTTTCCTTAATATGATTATTGTAATTTCTAAGATTTAAGGGGTATTTGATAATATCAACATTTTAGTGGTTTTTTATTTAAAGTTTGAATCGAAAGATCGTACGTACTAGTGGTTCGACCCTAAAACTTCGCACCATAGGCTAAATTGGTAGGTGATATTTAGAAATATGAAACGGTTGAACCATAGTAAAATTATGACTTCAGTATAAAATACTCTAATACCAACTTTTTCGATAAGGTTTTACAATCCTTTGGTTCAAACAATTCTTTTACATTGGTGCAAACAAAAGTTTTAAGGCACATTTTTAACTATCTATTGCAAAAAAGCAAAAGTCAGTTAGCGATAATAGAATATGCGATCTCATGTAGGGCTGATAATCGGTCGGTATTGGTATAACCAGTTACCGACTTACCGGTTATCGGTACACCGAGATTCTCAAAGTTTCTGCCGACAACCGGTACCGAGGAGCTGCCGGTTAACCGATAACGGTTACCGTTTCGGTTATCCAAAAACCGGGTAAGACTTCACTTCTCTCCGTCTTCGTTTCTTCTACAACTGGGTACGTCCGAGGCAGAGCAGCAGATTTGGGGTCGTGCATTCAGTGGCAGTCATCGATTGTGGATCCGGTCGTTTGCGGAGGTGTTGCGGCGGCGTTGAATCTCCATATATGGGGATTCTTCTTCACCTTCGAGACCACTGACCTTCTAGATCCGGCTCCGATGGCTAGATCTGCCACTGCCAGGGAGGCTCAGCTGCAGAGGAAGGCTTCAGAGAGGTAGAGGAATTGAGCGGCGAGCCGCGGCGCCGACCGAGGTGACGGTGGTGAGGCCCTGATCTGAGGCGACGGCGGCGGATCGCCGACCAATTCAACAACGGGGGCTCCTTGATCTGTGGTGTGGCTTAGGGAAGAAGACGGGGGGGAGAAAGAGAGATGGCCAGTTGGGGGTCTTAGGAGAGAAGATGGTCTCAAAAAATTACGTGAAATTGAGGAAGAGAGAAAGAGATGGTTTGTACTCTTTTTTTTGGTAGAAAGGTTGGCGCAAAGGCGCCTAATTCGTATTAATAATAGAACGACTTTGGGAAATTCCCATTACATCGTAAAAGAGCCGTTGTCTAAGACCGGCATCGTACACATCAAAAGAATGTGTACCAAAAGGAAAGCGGTGACCCACATTAGCAAGGTAGTGGATGGTTTGTACTCTGTTGGGGAAGAAGAAAAGAAAAGAATAGGAAGGGTTTGAAGTCTGTTGGGGAAGAAGAACGGATAAGAAAAGGAAGTGTTAATTGCAGGCGTCAGGGGAAGTGAATGGTGTAGGTTTTGGTATTCGGTATAGCGGATTACCGGCGGTTATTTACTGGATAGTAATCGGTATACCGAGAACCCAAATTCCACCACCGTATGCTGATACCGTCGGTTATCGGTTCAGTAACCGATTAAACCGAATACCACCTTCTCATGCAACCCAAAAGACACTTTGCAACTTCTATCTTTTTAAAATAAATATTTGTTACTCATACCCTCGCTCATTCATTAACTTAATGAGTAACATATATTTCATGTAAAATTATTTTCATACTTTTTTATTTATTGATAATTTCATGAAAAAAATATTTGATGCATGAAAATTGCTATATTGTTGCAAGATATGTCTACGATCTGAGAATAAATTAGGAAGTCCGTACACAACACATTGTCCAACTAATTATTAGCGACAACTTAACCGCATCATGTCCGATATATTTCAAATCAAGCAACTTCGGATTCATTACCAACAGTGTGGTAAAAAAAAAATGCTCTCTATTGGGAAAAACTTAAAGGACATACTAAACTCTATGAGACATTTTGTTTCATCCTAAAGGTTGATTATGTATGTATTATGAGAAACAACTCTAATATTCAACTATATGTTTTAATTGAGTAATGAATGACAATTAGTTATATTTTTTTTTCATTCAATAATT